CACCGCAGCCGAGCCATGGAGGGTGGGGTGTGAACGCCGGCACCCCCTTTCTCCACTCAGGCCCACCATGTCCCTGTAAGACCAGCTGTTGCCATCTGATAGAATTCTGGAGGTCCCGATCAAAACGATTTAAGAACAAATAAGGAAAAGATGTGAGGGATGGAAGGGAGGAGAGAAAATGCTCATTCCTGCAGGTGGTGTGACCGTTTACCTAAAAGGACCGCTGGAATCACTGACTCGCTATCGGAACCCACGAGATTTCGGCCGCAGTGCCTGGTATAAACCCGCAAAACCCACATATCCCTGGTGCTTCTCTGGGTCTCAGGCACTAACGGCCAGCTGAAAAGTCATAACAGAGGCCGGTGTGGCTCAGCGGTGGAGCGTCGGTCTGCGGACTGGGGGGTCCCGGGTTCGATTCCGGTCGGGGGCATGTGCATTGGTTGCGGGCACATCCCCGGTAGGGGGTGTGCAGGAGGCGGCTGGTTGATGTTTCTCTCTCATCGACGTTTCTAGCTCTCTATCCCTCTCCCTTCCTCTCTGTAAAAATCAATAAAATATATATATATATATATTTAAAAAAATAATAATAACATATTACTCACGGCAGCCAGATAGGGCGGTTAGACCATATAAGAACATGTCAGACCTCTTGGTAGGAAACTTTAATGAAGGCTATACAGGAGCTTCTGAATAGGGAGGGACATTGTCATAATGAAGGGTAGGACGGCAACGTTATAAAGATGTGAGTTCTCTTCACATTCACCTGTGAAGGCTACGCAGTCTTCGTCAAAGAAGAGGAGGAGGAGGCGAGAGGGGAGGAGAAAGCTCTGTTTTTTCCTCACCAGCCTCATAAGACCCCGGCAGTAATAATAATAATAATAATAATAATAATAATAATAAACGTGGTACTGGCTCAGGGACAGACACACGGACAATGGCAGAGACAGAGAACTGGCAGGCAGACCCAGCGTCTAGGGGGTTAATTAGGATGAATCCGATGACCCGGTGGATGAGGGGTGGGGATTCCTATGGAGCACACAGACAAGGGGCCGGAGATGGACTCATCAGTGAGAAAGTGGCTCAGCAGAGTTAACAGAAGACCACGCAGGGTAGGCTGCGATCCAGGCAGCAATAAAAGACTCCCCCCCAAACCATAGGAGGAAGGTAGTCACGGAGGTGGAAGTGGCCAGCTGGGCTGGGTGGGTTCAGGAAACAGGTTACAGCTGAAACCGGTGTGGCTCAGTGGATAGAGCGTCGGCCTGCGGACTGAAAGGTCCCAGGTTCGATTCCGGGCAAGGGCACGTACCTTGGTTGTGGGCACATTCCCAGTGGGGAGTGTGAAGGAGGCAGCTGGTCGATGTTTCTCTCTCATCGATGTTTCTAACTCTCTATCCCTCTCCCTTCCTCTTTGTAAAAAATCAACAATAATATATATATATATATATATATTTTTTTAAGTTACGGAAGCAAAAGAAGGGCCCTTGGAGCTTAGGAGAGAGAAAGCAAGGGTACCCAGGGGAGGGAGAGGAGGGAGGGAGAGGTGCAGGAGGGAGGGCACCAATCAAGCAAAATTTCAAAGGCACAAAACCTAGGCACCCCCCCCCCCCCCCCATACCTGCTGAATCGGGTGACACTGAAATGGAGGGAGTCTGCTCAGTGAAAGACCCCTTGGACGGAGCTGAGAGAGCTGACCGGGTAGGAGAAGGCATGTGTGGTGTCTACAGCGGGGACATTAGATCTGTAATAGGTGAGGAACTCCAGCAAAAATCAATAATATATATATATATATTTAAAAAATAATAATAACAGGTAGAAACAGGCCAGGTACCAAGCGGCGGTCTGCGGAAAAGGGAACCGGATCCGGCAGCCCAGGAGAGATGGGGACCCTCAGTAATGAGGACGCGCTGACAACGAAGGCCCACCTACCCGCCTGGCCGGGCACATCCCCTGCTCCTGCCACCTGGGGGGAGGGGGCGTGGGGGGGAGGAGGGCGTGGAAGGGAGGAGGGCGTGGAGGGGAGGAAGGCGTGGAGGGGAGGAGGGGAGGAGGGGAGGAGGGCGTGGGGGGAGGGGGGCGTGGAAGGGAGGAGGGCGTGGAGGGGAGGAGAGGTGTGTGAGTGTGTGTGTGAGTGTGAGTGTGAGTGTGTGTGGGGGTGGGGGGAGAGGTGTGTGGTGCGTGTGTGTGTGGTGTGAGTGTGTGTGTGTGTGGTGGGGGTGGGGGGGGTGTGAGTGTGGGGGAGTGTGTGGTGTGTGTGTGGTGGGGGTGGGGGGAGAGGTGTGTGGTGTGAGTGTGTGTGTGTGTGTGTGGTGGGGTTGTGGGGTGGTGAGTGTGGGGGAGTGTGTGTGTGTGTGGTGGGGTTGTGGGGTGGTGAGTGTGGGGGGGTGTGTGGTGTGTGTGGTGGGGTTGGGGGGAGGAGGGTGTGTGAGTGCGGGGGGAGTGTGTGGTGTGTGTGTGTGGGGTTGGGGGGGTGTGAGTGTGGGGGGAGTGTGTGTGGTGTGTGTGTGTGTGGTGTGAGTGTGTGTGTGGGGGGGGGGTGGGGGTGTGTGAGTGTGGGGGAGTGTGTGTGTGTGTGGTGGGGTTGTGGGGGGGTGTGAGTGTGGGGGAGTGTGTGGTGTGTGTGGTGGGGGTGGGGGGAGAGGTGTGTGGTGTGTGTGTGTGTGTGTGTGTGTGTGTGGTGTGAGTGTGTGTGGGGGGGGTTGTGGGGTGGTGAGTGTGGGGGAGTGTGTGTGTGTGTGGTGGGGTTGTGGGGGGTGTGAGTGTGGGGGAGTGTGGAGGGGGAGGGGGAGTGTCTGACAGGGCTGTGGAGGTGGAGAATGTAGCAGAAAGAAAGCCTCCGCTCAAGAGATAAACTGCAACTGTTTCTCTGCTTCTCTTTGTTCTTCTGTGGCTCATTGACTGCCAGCTCAGGCTGCTTTTAGCATAAGGACAAGGAGCGAATTGGGCTCTTTGGGGAGGAAGGTAAGAAAAGCCTTTTGCATGCGGAGGGATAAGGACAGGGAGGGCGCTGGCAGGAGGGAGGAGGCCGGGGTGTGGGGGGAGCAGGGACCCTGGGCCAGCCCCGGGCTGCACCCTGGCGCTGTCCGAGGCCCAGCTCCGTGCTGACCTGGCCTCCGTGGCCAGGGCTGTCTGCCCAGAACGCGCCCACCCTGCCCCTGGCCGGGCCAGCCCGGCGGCGCCACCCCTGCTTGCACCCGCCTGGGCTGTGAGGAAACGCTCATTCCATTGTCCACAGACATGCTACCTTACACATCATGTTGGTGGTGTTTCCAAGCTTCTTCTTCTTTTTAAAAAAATATATTTTACTGATTTTTTACAGAGAGGAAGGGAGAGGGATAGAGAGCTAGAAACATCGATGAGAGAGAGACATCGACCCGCTGCCTCCTGCACACCCCCCACTGGGGATGTGACCGCAACCAAGGTACATGCCCCTGACCGGAATCGAACCCGGGACCCTTCCGTCCTCAGGCGACGCTCCATCCTCTGAGCCGCACCGGTCTCGGCTCCAAGCTTCTGTGGCTCCGGAGGAATGGCTGCTCGGCAGGAGGGCTCAGATGAGGGAGCAGGGCCCTGAGGCAGGCGTCGGGTTCTGACTGACCCCATCTCTGTTAAGCTCCAGACGGCTCCCTTCCCGCCTCCGGGCCCGGCACCCAGGGAACACGTGTGCCCTCAGGGCTGCCTCTCCGGGTCCCCATCTCAGGAGGAAGCCACCTCCCGGGATCACCAGGCCTGGCCCTGCCCCGGGGCCGGTCTGCGAGGGCCTCTGCGAGCCATCGGAGGGTCCGGAGGGAGAGGGAGCTCTGGAAGGGGCTCCGGGCAGACCCTCTGGGCTCCACGCCCGGACCCTCTGCGTCGTCCTCGGTCCCGGTGACATCGGTCGGCACAGCTGGGTTTGGAGCCAGAAACACCTACACCCCCGTTACCATGGAAACACCTACACCCCCCGTTACCGTGGAAACACCTACACCCCCGTTACCGAGGAAACACCTACACCCCCGTTACCGAGGAAACACCTACACCCCCCGTTACCGTGGAAACACCTACACCCCCGTTACCGTGGAAACACCTACACCCCCCGTTACCGTGGAAACACCTACACCCCCGTTACCGAGGAAACACCCACCCTCCCCGTTACCATGGAAACACCTACCCTTCTTGTTACTGAGGGTTCAGTGTCCCTCTATCCAGGTCGGTTCAAAGCCACATTGTTCTCCTTGTGACTGTTTGTACAGTGACCTCTACCTTAAACATTTTTAAAATCTGCTCTAACCGGTCTGGCTCAGAGGATAGAGCGTCAACCAGGTCCCGGGTTCGATCCGGTCAAGGGCATGTACCTTGGTTGCGGACACATCCCCAGTGGGGGGTGTGCATGAGGCAGCTGATCGATGTTTCTATCTCTATTCCTCTCCCTTTCCCTCTGTAAAACAACAAAACAAAAAAACCAACAATAAAATATTAAAAAATAAAAAAATTTTAAATCTATTTTTGAATTGATTTCAGAGAGGAAGGGGGAGAGAGATCAACGATGAGAGAGAATCACGGATCCGCTGCCTCCTGCACGCCTGCACTGGGGATGGAGCCCCACACCAGGCCTGTGCCCTGACCAGGAATCGCACTGTGACCTCCTCGCTCACAGGTTGGCGCTCACCACTGAGCCACACGGGCCTTTGCCAGCGGCGCCTGGTTCCCTTAGGGATGAAGCAGGGTCGTTTCCCGTGGGCTGTCTGAGCTCAGCGGGTGGTTTAGGGGAAACTGGCGTCCAATGGCTGGTGGGAATGAAACCCAGCCTGCAGTGTGCGTGCACGGTGTGTGTTTGTGTGTGCACGCGCGCGCGCGTGTGTGCACGAGTGTCTGTGCGCAGGGCACGCGTCTTTGTGTGTGTGAGTGCATGCACGCATGTTAGTGTGTGCGCACGCCTGTTTGTGTGCGTGTTTGAGTGCAGGCACGCGTCTTTGTGTGTGTGCACGCGTGTTTTGTGCAGGACACGCGTGTTAGAGTGTGTGCACGCGTGTTTGAGTGCATGCACGCGTGTTGTGTGCAGGGCACGCGGCTCTGTCCCTCTTGGTGCAGCGCCTTTTGTCTGAGTTTGTGTCTCTTGAATCTGCGACCCAAGGGGAGGAGGAGGCCGGCCCGGGCCAAGCCAGGGCCCGGGGAAGGTTCTGGAAACCCGGACCCGGTCTCACCAGCTCCCCGCGAACCCTCCGCGGGCCGGGCCGGCGGGCTGGCGGGGGCGGGGCGGCGGTGACTCAGCACCGGGCGGGGGGCGGGGCAGGAATCGGGGGGGGGGGGGGGGGGGGGGGGGGGGGGGGGAGGGAGGGGCGGGCGGGACCTCCCCGTCGGGCTCCGGGCCGTGGCCCCAGCACAGTTGCCGTCGCCGCCACCCCGCTTGGTCGCCAGTGAGTGTGCGGGGCCCGGGGGCGGGGGGCGCGGGGCCCGGGGGCGGGGGGGCCCGGGGGCGCGTGGCCCGGGGGCGGGGGGCGGGGGGCGGGGGGCCCGGGGGCGGGGGGCCCGGGGGCGGGGGTCCGGGGGCCCGGGGCGGGGGGCGGGGGGCGCGGGGGCGGGGGGCCCGGGGTCCCCTGAGGCTGCAGCGCCCGCTCCGGCCAGACCCCGCCCCCGCCGCCCGGAGCCCGGATGGGGCCCGGGGAGGCCGGGGGGACGGGGACGGGGACGGGGGACGGGGCGCGGGGTGCACTGGCTCGGGCGCTAACCAGCCCTCCCCCCCCCCAGTGGCGCCCTACACCATCGTCTACTTCCCCGTGCGAGGTAGGCGGCCGGGGGGGTGGGCCGAGGGGACGGGCGGGGGGGCCGGGGGCCGGGGCCGGGGGGCGGGGGGGGGCCGGGGCCGGGGCGGGGGCGGGGGCCGGGGCCGGGGGGCGGGCAGCCGCACCCGCCTGGCTGGGGGCGGGGGTGGAGGGGGCGCAGACCCCTGTCCGTCCCCGGGGGCCGCTGGCCGGACCGCGTGCCGTGTCTGAGCTCCGGGTTGGGGTCCACGCTTGGCCGGTCCCTCCCCGGAGCCACTCCCGCCCCCGGCCTGGGGTTGGGGTCTCAGCCCGCGCCCCCCCCGCAGGGCGCTGCGAGGCCACGCGCATGCTGCTGGCGGACCAGGGCCAGAGCTGGACGGAGGAGGTGGTGACCAAGGAGGCGTGGCTGGAGGGCACCCTCAAGGCCTCCTGTGTGCGTGCCCTGCCGCGGGGGCGGGGGCGGGGGCGGGGGACGAGCCGGGGGCAGGGGGGCAGGAGGCAGGCGCGCCCAGCACTGACAGGGCTGTGCCCCCCAGCTGTACGGGCAGCTCCCCAAGTTCCAGGACGGAGACCTGACCCTGTACCAGTCCAACGCCATCCTGCGGCACCTGGGCCGCTCCCTGGGTGAGTGCGGGGGCTCCCGCTCTGGGCCCCGGGCAGGGGAGGGGGTGCGGGCACCGGGAGGTGGAGCCCAGCTCGCCTGCAGCCCTTGCCCCCCGCCAGCTGCCTCCCACCGGCTCTGAGCACCCCTGTGGGGCAGGACCGCTCCCTCCTTCCCCCGCCCTCTCCCCCGCTCGCTGGGCCCGGGCTCCATGGGCCTGGTGCCGGCCTGAGGATGGCTCAGTCTGTCAGCTGACGGTCATGCTGGGCTCCCCTGCCCCTCCCCGCACCCTCCCCCAGGGCTGTACGGGAAGGACCCGAGAGAGGCGGCCCTGCTGGACGTGGTGAATGACGGCGTGGAGGACCTGCGCTGCAAGTACGCCAGCCTCATCTACACCAACTACGTGCGTGAGCGGAGACGGGGCTTCCTGACCGCGCACCCTCAGTGGCCTGGCTGAGACCCCCTGGGTCTGGGACCCGGGCGGGGGGTGGCCATGGCCTGGGGCCAGGGACCAGCAATGGCAGAACAGGGCGAGGACCGGAGACACCGAGCCAGGGGGGCCTGACCCCTGGGCTGGGGTGGCCGGAGGGCTGCCTGGAGGCAGGGGGGGGGCCTAAGCCCCTGGGCACCGTGATGTCAGGCACACATGTATGCAGGCACAGAGCACATGCAGGCACACATGTGTGCAGGCACAGAGCACATACAGGCAAACACATGTACAGACACAGAGCACACACGTATGCAGACATAGAGCACAGGGACTCAGGGCTCGCTGAGCAGAGGTGGGCACCGTGGCTGGTGAGCGCAGGGAGGGGGAAGGGGGGCCTGGAGGGCAGGAGGCCAGGGCCTGAGGCTGACCCCCAGGCTGACCCCCGCGGCATAGGGAGCCGTGGAGGAGTCTGGGCGGGGCGGCGTCCGAATGGGCGGCCTGGGAGGACCCGCAGGGCCCCCGCAGGGATCTGCTGAGCGGTCACGGGGAGGGAGGGAGGGAGGGACTGGCTGCTGGCGGACAGGACGTGGCACAGCCTGGGGGGAGTCAGCTGCGGAGCACGGGGTTCTGAGGCGGTGACTCTCAGACGGGCCAGTGGGAGGGGGGCCGCAGGGTGAGGGTCAGCGGGGTGACGGTGCCTCTTCCCGGCAGGAGGCGGGCAAGGAGGACTACGTGAAGGCGCTGCCGGACCGCCTGAAGCCCTTTGAGACCCTGCTCTCCCAGAACCAGGGCGGCCAGGCCTTCATCGTGGGCAGCCAGGTGGGCGGCCGCCCCTGTCCCGCCCCTCCTCCCGTGCCACCCTCCCGTGCCGACAGGAAAGGGGGCCGAGGGTGCGTGAGCCGTCCGCGGCTGGACAGACCGAGGGACCAGCTCAGCCCCGGCCCCCTTTCCCCTCCCCGTCTCCTTCCCCCTCCGGTCACCCCACCGCCTGACCCCCCCTCCCCGCAGATCTCCTTCGCCGACTACAACCTGCTGGACCTGCTGCTGATCCACCAGGTCCTGGCCCCCGGCTGCCTGGACGCCCTGCCCCTGCTGGCGGCCTACGTGTCCCGCCTCAGCGCCCGGCCCAAGCTCAAGGCCTTCCTGGCCTCCCCGGAGCACCTGAGCCGCCCCATTAACGGCAACGGGAAGCAGTGAGGGCCCGCCCAGCAGGAGGGGCGCTGCCCGCCTGCCTCCCGCCCCTGCACCAATAAAGTTTCCAGAAAAGAGGCGCCGTGGGCATTGAGTCTCCTGGGGAAAGGGCTGTGGGGCCCTCACCTGTCAGACGCTGGAGGTGCCCGGCTGGGACGCCTGAAACCTAAGGCACAGTCAGCGTCTCCGGGAGCTTGCAGTGCGGTCTGTGTTTGCAGAGCTTGGGAAGAGGGGGGAAAAAGAAAGAAAGAAAGAAGCAGGAAGAGAAATCACGGAGATCCCTACCCTGGAGGTCCCGTCCCGAGAGAAAAGGCTCAGTGGCAGCAGGCTCTCGGGCCCAGCCCGCAGCTGCCAGGGCACTCCAGGCCCGGCCAGCGGGAGCTGAGGGACCCTCCGGGCACAGCCCAGCAGCCCGGCGGGAGGGTGTCACTCCTCAGGTGGGGCTCCCTGCCCCTCGGACATTGTGGACACTGCGGGCAACAGGAAGGGCAGGCGCCTCTCCCGCCGCCCACCCAGGCTGCTAAAGGATGGAGCCTGAGAAAGATCAGCCTGGGGAGCTGGGGGGGGGGGGGGCATGTCCACAGTGGAGAGGGTCCAGGCAAAGGGGAGGCACTGGGGTGTGAGCAGGGACGGTGGAGGAGGAGCCACGGGAGGCCCCTGTCCTGCAGCCGGGAGGAGCCCTGCCCGTAGGGGAGTCCCTCAGGAAGTGACCTCACAGAGCTGGGCCAGCAAAGGGAGGCCTGCACCCATCCCACGCCTCGGAGCCCCCCTTTGGGCCCCGCGTGGTGTCCGTGACATGGCTGGGGCGCTGGGGAGCCCCGGACGCAGAGGGGTGCCACTCCCTGGGCGTTGCCCGGGAGGCGGAGGACGTGGTTGGGAGCTGGAACAGGCGGTGCCTCGGGGAGGACTTTGAATTTAAGACGTGGATCCGAACGGAAAAGGCGGGAATCCCGAACCGCCCACAGCCAGGCCTGCAAAGACCGGTTGTAGCTGCTAATGCTGAGCGCTGGCTCCCTGCAGGCATGACGGACAGGCTGCGGTACAGGCGTGTCCCACGCAAAGGCTAAGGGGCCAGATACACACGGTTTAAGCGTGTGTGGGCCGCAGAGAAACAAAAGCTTCAATTTGCATCGAAACAGGTTTATTTCATAGAGACATGCTGCGTACAAAGGGCTGAAATAAATGAGTCATCGACATACAGTAATAGAACATTTTAACAAAAATTAATATTTCTCTAGAACATTCACTTACCAGACACCGGATAGTGGCACAAATTAATAAGCATCACGCAAATAAACCTATTTTCCTTGCTCTCCGAAAACGAAACATTTCCTGTTGCACACACCAAACGAGTCAGTACAAGACGAAGGACGTGGCAGTTGGATGCTAAAATATTTGCTGCTACTGTTAGTGGAGAGGAAAGGGAAATGAATGAACATGATTATAGTCATCAGTCATTGGCGAAGGCTGTAGTTCGTTATTAATAATTATGTAGAGCCCTAGGCAGTTTGGCTCCGTGGATAGAGCAGACTGAAGGGTCCCAGGTTTGATCCTATTCAAAGGCACACGCCCAGGCTGTGGGCTCAGTCCCAGTGGGGGGGGCGTGCAGGAGGCAGCCAGCCAATGCTTTTTTATTATTATTGATGTTTCTATCTCTATCTCCCTCTCCCTTCCTCTCTGAAATCAATAAATATATGTTATTAAAAAATAATTATGTAGCCGAAACCGGTTTGGCTCAATGGATAGAGCGTCGGCCTACGGACTGAAAGGTCCCGGGTTCGATTCCGGTCAAGGGCATGTACCTTGGTTGCGGGCACATCCTCAGTAGGGAGTGGGCAGGAGGCAGCTGATAGATGTTTCTCTCTCATCGATGTTTCTAACTATCTCCCTTTCTGTAAAAAATTAATAAAATATATATTTTTAAAAGACGTGTCTTACATACTGTTACATTGACTGGGCTGCAGAAATACTCAGTGTGGGCCGCATGGGTTCGAGGGCCTGGGGTTTGACATCCTTGCTGTAGTATGTTGCCTTCCTGAACCCTCACCACCCTTGTCCCTGTTTGTGGGGAGGAAACTGAGTCACAGAAAGTAGAAGTAACTTGCTGATGGTGTGAATTGAGGCAGGAAAAGGGAATTCATGGTACCATTGTGGTCAGACGTATTGAAACAGCATCGCCATCCAGCAGGAGACTGGCTGAGCGCGGGAGGTGCTCGCACGATGGGCTTGCCGCCGTGAAGAGCAAGAGGGAGCAGTGGACAGAGGGGCCGCCTGCGTGCCAGGGGGAGGGCCCCCATGTCCCCCAGCCTGGCCCCGGAACAAGCAGAGCGGCCCGGACCCCGGGCGGGAGGGGCAGAAACGGACCCTGAAGCTGACAACTTCAAATGCACCCGGAACTCCCGCCAACTCCCCTCGCTCCTCACCCGGCAAGTACCAACGGACAACACATAAACCTCTCACCTGAAAGAGAGATCATAAACAGGAAGGCACAAGGAGCTCGGGGGGGATAGAGCGTGCAGGCTGCGGGAGAGACTTCGGGGAGATGACAAAAGACACCTGCTCCGGGGACGGGAAAGGGCGCCAGCACAGAGTGCTCGGAGACGGAGCTGGGACTTCACAGTGTGACTGCAGTGGAGATGGACAATCTTGAAGATGAGGCTGAACACCCACGTGAAAACAGAACAGAAAGATAAAAGCATGGAGAGAGAGAAGAAAAACTGTGATTATTCGAGGAGGTCCAGAGAAAGAGGGAGGGCAGGGGGAGGGGAGAAATAGGGAGCAGGTGATCAAATGAACACCACAAGGCAGAAGATGAGCTTCCGGCACTCTGAGGGCCAAGCATATGGGAAGGGGGGGGGGGGGGGGGGGGGATCAAAGACTGACACAAAAGCGACGGGGAGGCTGGGCGGGACCTGGAGGGGCAGGCTCCCCCTGTGGCCCCTGGGCCCGAGGGCAGGGGCACTGTGCCCTGTCTGCCACCGGCATCGCGGAGCCGTGCGTAGACCAGAGCTTGGTGTGTGACGGTCATGGCACCACGGACACGTGCTTTAGTGTTCAGTAAGACTCACGCACCCTGGGGAGAGCAGTAGGCCAGCCAGTGCTGCTGATACTCGATCCTCTTCTGAAAACAGGGGCTCATCATTCCGGCAGCCAAGGCTGTAGGAGGATTAACGAGATAACACATGGCAATTGCTTGGCACTGGATGTATGGGAGACCCTGCCCCTCATGCTCCATTTCCCATCATCCCCTGTCCAGCCATCTCCTGCCCCAGGCTGCCTCTCCCCGGGCCTTCTGTTCCCTTGACCCAATTAGAGAGGAAAAGGAAGGAATCCATCCGCCGTGACCCAGCTGCTCCTACCCCAGAGCGAGGCATTCGTGAGCTCAAGTCTGAACTCCGGATTAGCTGTGTAATCCCCAGATCTGTCTGGGCAATCTTTTTCCCCAGCCAGGAGAGGGAGCCAGGACTGCTGGGCTCTGGGCCTGTGACTGCCTTACCCATCTGCAGCACACGAGACAAGCTGCCATTGTTTTGGCGCCTCTTTTGGAGATTCCACAGACATCCCACGCCTGTCACATGTGTGTCAATTGTTCTGTAGGTTTGTGGTGCACGGGGCACTCTGGGAAGAAAGGCCTGGATCTGACTCCAATTCTGACATTCTAAGTGGATGCCCACGGACAAGGCAAGAAGCCTGCAAGGGCCTCAATTCTTTCATGTATAAAATGGAATTAACATAGTCATGAGGGTCAGGCCGTTTTCTCCTCTCCCCCCCCCCCCCCCCCCCAGCACTTGTGCGCACAGGAGCTCACACTGAATGCTGAACCCATAGAACGTGGAAAACACCAGAAACTGGCAGGAGGCGACGCGCAAGGCTTGTTCACTTGAGGTTGGAAAGGCTGGGTGCGGAAGCAATCGCTCAGAAAGTGGCCAGAGGTTGCCCCAGGGAGCAAGTGCTTACAGCCCGGCGGGAGAAGCAAGGCGCGTCGGACTACATTTCCCAGCAGCCCCAGCGTTACTCAGGCCACTTCCGGTCTCTCCCAGAGGGCGGGGCGAAGGGCGGGGCGGGAGAGGCGCAGGGATGCCTGGGCGCGTGACGCGCTTCCTGTGCGCCGCCCGGCGTTCGGGTCGCGCGGGTTCCTCGGCGGAGATCCGTGAAGGTGACAGCGGGAGGTGACTGTGCTGGCCCCCGCGATGCTGGCGGCGCGGCGGCTGCTCGGCGGGTCGCTCCCCGCGCGGGTGTCTGTGCGATTCAGCGGCGACACGGTGAGGCCCGGCCTGGCTCGGAGCAGGGGTGCGAGCGGGCGGGTCTCGCCGCCGTGTCTCCGCGCGCCGTCCCGCGGGCCTGTGGTGCCTCCTGAGAACCCTCCTGTCTCCCCAGCCCGGCAGGAAGGGGGACCCCCCCCCCCCCCCGGCATGGGTGCAGAGGGGAACGGGTCCCAGCGGGAGGCTGACTCCCGCCCTCCTCCGGCCGTTGTGCAGGTGCAGAAAACCGGAGCGGGTGGTGCACCGCCCGACTCCCCGCTCAGCGCTCTGCTTCCTGCAGCGGCTCTTAGGGGGCCGGATCCGGGAGCCGGTTCCCCAGCGCTCTGAGCCGGGTGCTCACCCCTGGGTTCTGTGGAATCCCGGATCCCACTCTTCTCACCAGTTTCATCCCAAACGGGTCTCCCTCCGCCCGGCCCTAGGGAGACATTTCTTTTCCATCAGCAAACACATTTTGCTCCCAGCATTGTCAGTAACAGATGGCCCTGGCCTAACCAAGGCTCCGTCCAGCAAGACAGCCAGACAGGGAAATGGCCAGGCCATTTCATTGGGCTCAGATAGCCCTCAGCTCAAGTCTGTCTGCGCTTTTGGCTGTATGCCCTTCTGTAAGTTCATTCTGCTCCGAGCCTCAGTTCCCTCCTCTGGAAACTCACTCCTGTCTCAGCATTATGCGGAATGCCAGGGTTTCGGATGTGCTTACGGGACGTGGTTACTGGGGGTGGTGGTAGCCGTGATGCTCCCAGGGTCCTGAGGCTTAGGCTCCTGCCCTCTCCCCCGCGCAGCCCCGGCTAGTCAGGGGACCTAAGAATCTGGCTTCTGGGTGGCCCCTGGTGGCCCCAGCTGGGCTTCCTGACCCTCTGTGTCCCCAGGCGGCGCCCAAGAAGACCTCCTTTGGGTCCCTGAAGGACGAAGACCGGATCTTCACCAACCTGTATGGACGCCATGACTGGAGGTGAGCTGGCGCCCTGAGCCTGGGGGTCGCAGGGCACGGCCTCCCCTTCACCACCTTCCCTGCTCTGTCCAGGCTGAAAGGTGCCCAGCGCCGCGGTGACTGGTACAAGACGAAGGAGATCTTGCTGAAGGGGCCCGACTGGATCCTGGGTGAGATCAAGACCTCGGGCCTGCGGGGCCGCGGTGGTGCCGGCTTCCCCACGGGCCTCAAGTGGAGCTTCATGAACAAGCCCTCGGACGGCAGGTGCGAGCGGGCGGGGCCGGGCGCGGGAGGACCGCGGGCCTCGGCTGCCGGGGCTTTGCTGCCTCGGAGGGATGAAGCGGGAAAATGTCACTGGAGCTTCCGTAGTTGGGATCCGTTCTCTCTGGCGTTCCTCTGGAATCAGAACAAGATTGTTTTTCAATCCTCACCTGAGATTGTGCTTACTGATTTGAGAGAGAGGGAGGGAGGAAGGGAGGGCAACACTGATGTGAGAGAGAAACATCCATCAGTTCTCTCCCTTGTACACCCCTACGGGGGATGAACCTGCTCCCTAGGTATGTGCCCCGCCCGGGGATCGAACCCAGAACCTCTGGTGTTCGGACAGTGCTCCGACAGACAGCCGGGTCAGGGCAGCAGACAATTTGACTCGGGCGACTTAATTGATCAATTCCTAGCTCTGCCTTCTAATCATTAAGCTTGGGCAGTCTCTTGGCCTTTTTGATCCTCAGCGATCTTTTCTTTAAATGGATGTTATCTTTTGTGGGGATTAAAGAGAGAGTGTTTGAATACCTGCTCATTGGTCAGCACATAGAAAGGAAATGATACACGTCAGCTACCTCGCCTCCTCCTGGCCTCAGCGATATGGCGGGGGTTCAGAAAGCCCTTTGTGACCAAGAGCAGAGTGTGGGCTCCGGGAAGCACAGAGAGAGACCTGTGGACAGCAGAACCAGGCCTTTCCTGTCAGAGGCCACAGGGGGAACATCGGTGAGCTCCTGTCATCGGTGCTGAGCAGGCAGAAGCCTGGGAACGTGTTGGGAGGCAGCGGGGGATTGGCTGTCAGAGGAGACATCTTGGAGGCGTGGCTGGGAGAGGGGGGTTGAGAGACCCTTCCTGGTGACCCTGCAGCCTGACTGACCTGCTGGCCCCCACAGGCCCAAGTACCTGGTGGTGAACGCGGACGAGGGGGAGCCGGGCACCTGCAAGGACCGGGAGATCATGCGTCACGACCCCCACAAGCTGGTGGAAGGCTGCCTGGTGGGCGGCCGGGCCATGGGGGCGCGCGCCGCCTACATCTACATCCGCGGGGAGTTCTACAACGAGGCCTCCAACCTGCAGGTGGGCTGGGGGGGCACTGCGGAAGAGCGCACTACCCACTGAGCTGCACAGTCATTTTACCGCCTGACCTGGCGGGGTCCATGGGAGAGTGCCGGCCACTCCTGCATGTGCGGGATTGGGACAGGCCCCAGAGGCCCCCTCTGGCCGCCCGTACACTCCAGGCTCACCGGGGGAGGTTTTCCGTGGCGCCATGACTTCTCGCGTGTGGGGGCCTCGTAAGGGGGCATATTTCCTGCGGAAGGGGCCGTGACCAAGGGGTGATGCTTAGATTCTTAGCCTGGTGATGCCTGTGTATAGGGCCCACGCAGTAGCATCGAGTATAAAATGTATTGTTATTACATACTTTAAAGTTAAACCTCTAGGTCTTTCCCTCTATTGCAGAAGCAGTACTTATTGTGAAGATAGGAAGCCACGAGGAAAATCTCACACAGATCCGCTGCTTGCTAAATCCTTCATTATTCTAAAACCTTTCTTTTAAACATAGATGTAGTTGGAGAGTTTTTAAGTTGTTACAGTGCATGCACTCTGTACAGCCCTCGCCCCTCCCTGAGCGTCCTCCGTTCCTGTCAGAAGGGGCTTTGCCCTGGATTTGGTGACGGGCCTGTATTCTCCCCCCTCTGCCCCCACACCCACCACAGTGTCCCCAGGCCCCTGGACAGTGACCTCACTGTGGCCCTGCCCGCAGGTGGCCATCCGAGAGGCCTACGAGGCCGGTCTGATCGGCAAGAACGCCTGCGGCTCCGGCTACGACTTCGACGTGTTCGTGGTGCGCGGGGCCGGGGCGTACATCTGCGGGGAGGAGACCGCGCTCATCGAGTCCATCGAGGGCAAGCAGGGCAAGCCGCGCCTGAAGCCGCCCTTCCCCGCAGACGTGGGTACGGCCCGGCCCAGCCTCCTGGGCCTGTCCTAGGTCTGCGGGACCGGGGCCTGGTCTTCCTTAGGGGATTTCTGAGTTCCTTCTGCTCTGGGGCCAGACACGGGGAGCAGGTGGTAACAACACGAGGCTCCACCAGTGCCACCTCCTCAGCCCCACGCCAGGCACCAGGTCCCCTCCAGCCCTCCGGAGCCAAGGACATGGTGGGAACAGGCGGTGCAGGACCCGCTGGCCTGGGGTCCGGGGGGCGGGGGTGGGTGAGAGTGATAAAGCAGAAGGGGGCGCTCTGCCATGGGAGCGGGACCCTGGACAGACCCATTGCCAGGAAACCGCCCCATCTGTCCCCTTGCCCCGCAGGAGTGTTTGGCTGCCCCACCACCGTGGCCAACGTGGAGACGGTGTCCGTGTCCCCCACCATCTGCCGCCGAGGGGGCTCCTGGTTCGCCAGCTTTGGCCGCGAGCGGAACTCGGGCACCAAGCTGTTCAACATTTCTGGCCACGTCAACCACCCGTGCACTGTGGAGGAGGAGATGTCGGTGCCGCTGAAGGAGCTGATTGAAAAGCACGCGGGTGAGGCCTGGGGCTTGGGGGCCAGGGGGCAGGGGCAGGGGGCAGGGGGGGGGGGGCGGGGGGCAGGGCATTCGTGGAGAGAGCCAGGGCTGGAAGGGCCTGGGGCTGGGGCAGGGTTGACAGGCCCTGGACTCAGGACGAGGCCCGTTTGCTGGCCTGGCCCTGACACCATCATTTCGGGGACGTCCCCCAGGGGGCGTCACGGGCGGCTGGGACAACCTCCTTGCTGTGATCCCCGGCGGCTCGTCCACCCCACTGATCCCCAAGTCTGTGTGCGAGACGGTGCTGATGGACTTCGACGCGCTGGTGCAGGCCCAGACGGGGCTGGGCACGGCCGCGGTGATCGTCATGGACCGCTCGGTAAGGGCTGGCCGCTCCCACCCTGTGCCTGCGCCTGCGCCTGCGCCTGCGCCTGCGCGGTTCCCGCCGTGGCTGGCCCGGCCCTGCAGCCCGAGATGCAGGAGGCACGGGGAGCGAGGCGGGGCTGGGGCAGGTGCCATGGAGAAGGGCCTGCAGGACGCCCGGGGAGGGCCGGGGAGCGAGGCGGCGCTGGGGCAGGTGCCACGGAGAAGGGCCTGCAGGACGCCCGGGGAGGGCCGGGGAGCGAGGCGGCGCTGGGGCAGGTGCCGCGGAGAAGGGCCTGCCGGACGCCCGGGGAGGGCCGGGGAGCGAGGCGGCGCTGGGGCAGGTGCCGCGGAGAAGGGCCTGCCGGACGCCCGGGGAGGGCCGGGGAGCGGCGGGCCGGTCTGGGCCCAGGCTCACTGTCCTCTGTCCCTCCAGACGGACATTGTGAAAGCCATCGCCCGCCTCATCGAGTTCTACAAGCACGAGAGCTGCGGCCAGTGCACGCCCTGCCGGGAGGGTGAGCGCCAGGCGGCGGGGGGCGCTCTGGCTCGCCCGGGCCTGGGTGGGCAGGTCAGCGGAGGAGTGGGCTCTGGGCCCTGAGGAAAAGGTGCGCCGCTGCCGTGGCCTCAGTCTCTTCCCTCGGCCGCAGGTGTGGACTGGATGAACAAGGTGATGGCCCGCTTTGTGAGGGGGGACGCCCGGCCGGCCGAGATCGACTCGCTCTGGGAGATCAGCAAGCAGATAGAGGGCCACACCATCTGCGCGCTGGGCGACGGGGCCGCCTGGCCCGTGCAGGTACCCGCGCCCCGCTCCGGCGCTCGCTGCCCTGCTGAGAGCCCCGGGCCTTGGGTCTTTAGACCCCGTTCACACCGTGTCCCCCCCCCCCCTCCAGGGCCTGATCCGACACTTCCGGCCGGAGCTGGAGGACCGGATGCAGCGGTTTGCCCAGCAGCACCAGGTCGGGCAGGCCGCCGCCTGAGCCTGCTGCCCCGGCTGGTGTCCTCGTCCAGACGGCGGGACAATAAAGCCAGTGCCGCCCACTGTCCTGCTGCGGCTTCTCTGTGGCCTTGCTCTGCCCCTGCCCGGGGCCCAGCGCTCAGGGGCCCGTTTGCCAGCTGGGGAGGCTGGGGCGGGATAGCCAGCTCCAGGTCGTGCCGCGAATCCAGACTGGCCTCCCGTGCGTCAGTGAGTCTGTCCTGAACACCCAGCCTTCAGGGCAGGCAGCTGGGTCTGGGTCCACCCCTGGGCCCCTGAGGCTGGGGACTAGGAGAGCAGGGTGAGGAGAGCAGGGTCCAGTTTGCCCTGTGCGGTGATGGGCCAGGAAAGAAGCTTGTTCAGTCTGCGTTGGAGAGGTTTATTCCTGCTTTGACACTGGACACGTGGAAGTGGGGGAGGGAAACAGTTTGACGAGGGGATGGACACGGGGCGAGGCAGCCCCGGTTCCTCCCACCTCTGGGAGGCGTGTGGGTCGGGGTGGGGAGGAGCAGTGAGCAGGGCCGGGCCAGGTGCCCAGCTGGTCGCTGAGCTGGAGGGGCGCGCTGCCGTCCAGCGGGTGCCACAGCTCCAGCCGGCGGTCACTGTGGCCCAGGCACTCGCTCCAGTGCCGCTGGCGCTGCCCGCTGGCCCGGCCGCTCAGCTGCACCCTGCCTGGATTGGGGAGAGCGGTCAGGAGACGTGTGGAGCCCCTTGGCCCCCACCCGGCTCCCTGCATTCCACTCACCAATGAAGTCATTGGCCGAGTCCAGGTCATAGTCCCACACGGACGCCAGAGGGTCCTCTGGCCAGCTGCTCCCTGCGGCCTGTGCAGAAGAACTGCGGGAAGAGAGGAAGGAAGGCGCTCGGGTCCCTCCCGGCCTCAGAAACAGGCCCAGGCGGCGAGGGGCTTGGGCCAGCGGACCTGTGTGCTCTCACTGAGGCGGGGTGCTGACCCCCACCCAGAGCAGCAGGCCTGCCTGGGCCTGGCCCTGGCCCACCTCATTGGATTCGGGGTTCAGGGTCTTCTTCCGAACGCTGGTCTTGTACTCAGTTTTCTTCCCCACGTTGGGATGCAGGGACCTGGTTGGGGGACGGGGTCGGGTGAGGGGTGGCTCTGGAGAGAGGAGCCCAGAGGACTCCCAGCCCGCCACCTCTGCCACACTCAGGCGGACGAAGGGTCCGAGGAGCCGTTAGGGGCCAGGTGGGCGCCCCGCAGCACCCCGACCAGCAGGCGCCCCGCTGGGAGCTGTAGCACAGGGACAGCAGGATGCGCCCGCGCTCCTCCCCGCCGCCTCGGCCACCTCCTGCGGGGCCAGCGGGGCAGCCCTGCGCCACAGCCCGCCGCCCGCCCGCCCGCCAGTGCCAGCCAGGGTGCGAGCTCCTACGGCCAGTGGTCTAACTTCGTGGCTCAGTTTCACGCTCGTGGGCCTGGTGCCCTGGAAGGCAGTTGCCCGGGCCAGCCGTACCTCCAGAAGCTAAGAAGGGGAGGGGCTTGCTCAGGCCTCCCGACCGGCAGGTCACAGGTTTGCCGTGGATAGGAGGGGAACTGAGGCTGAGAGCCAGACTGGCCGGGCACATGTGATGGGCTCCCAGAGGGCCCAGCACCCTCCCGCTGGGAAAGCCGCGTCTCGGGAGCTGCACAGGTCCTCCCCGTACAACACCCGCCCTCCGCCCCCCGTCCTGGGACCAGCCGCCCTCCTTGGGCCCCCCGCCCCTGTCCTGGGACCAGCCACCCTCCGCCCCCCCTCAAACCCCCCCCCCCCCATCCTGGGATCAGCCGCCCTCCTCGGGCCCCCCGCCCCTGTCCTGGGACCAGACGCCCCCCGCCCCCCCGTCCTGGGACCAGCCGCTGAACACCTTTTGCCACACTCGCCCTGGTGCTTCCAAGAGGAGCCCCGGGGGAGGCCGGGAAGGACGTTTCTCCCAAACGTAACCTAGGATTCGATTTGCAGGAAGTCCAGCCGCCGGGCCAACATCTAGCTCTTCCTGTGGGAGTGTCCGTGGGCACCTGCAGTGAGCGCGACAGGCGGTGGGTGGCACAGGCTGCCAGCCCCAGGAGGTGCACTTGCCTGGCCTTGTTTAGGCACCAGCTGCAGTACCTTGTGGCTCCACTAGGGGGCAGGGCAGTAGCACGACCTTCCATCAGAGGGGCCTGGGCCAGTCCTGCCTCAGTCGTCTTTGGTCTCCCCTGGGGCCCCTCCAGTTACTGTCACTGCCTCCCGACAAGCGCTGGTCTAGGGGTGCCAGCCCCAGGAGTGGCACCCACAGTGACCCCCGGGAGCAGCCAGGGAGCCCCACCTTGTCCATTCTCGCCTGCCCTCCCGCTGCTCCGGCCACACAAATCCCAGCAGTTTCAGCATCTGCCTCCAGGGGCCTGGGTCTCTGCACCCGCCTCCCCGAGGGCTCTGCGTATCCCTGCTGTTCCCCAGGGCTCAGCCTCAGAACGTTCCTCCCAGCCCACCTCACCTGCCTGGTACCCGAGCACCCAGGCCTGTCCCCTGCACAGCCTGCTCAGTGCCACCGTCCCACGCACCGCGCACAGGGACACGTGTGTCCTACACAGCATGTGCAGGGACATGTGTGTCCTACGCACCACGCATGGGGACACATGTCCTACGCACCGCATACGGGGACACGTGTGTCCTACACACCGCGCACGGGGACACGTGTGTCCTATGCAGCGTGTACAGGGACACGTGTGTCCTACGCACCACGTATGGGGACACGTGTGTCCTACGCAGCGTGTACAGGGACACGTGTGTCCTACGCACCACGTACAGGGACACGTGTGTCCTACGCAGCATGTACAGGGACACGTGTGTCCTACGCAGCGTGTACAGGGACATGCCACGGGACATGTTCAGGCGCTCCGGCCTCTTGGTCTGAAAGAGCAGAGAGCCGGTCACCTTGTCTCCCTCCCGCCCCGCCCCTCCCCAGCTCCCCAGCACACGACTGTGGACCCCAAAGCCCACCTTGTGTGCCCCCCGCCTCACCGGCCTCCGCTTCTCCAGACACAGGCTGAAGCTCCGGGCTCGGCTGGGCACCAGCTTCCGCAGGGGCAGACGCAGGGGCACCGCGGCTGCAGCCGGGGGTCCTCACACACCAGCCTGGAGGCCCCGGTCAGACGGGCAGGCGAGCCCCCTCCCCCCGCTCCCCGTGGCCCGGCTCCGGCCCCACTGCAGGGTCCTGCGCCCGGCGTCCTGGGTGAGGCCGTGATACGTGACGTCTCTTCCCAGACCGGCCCCCACGTGCCCCGCCGTGCGCGTCCTCAGCTGGCTGGCCTGGGGGCCGGCCGGGGTCAGGGCGCCTCGGCCCCGGGCCCCCCAGGCCGCCGCCCTCCCAGGACCCCGGGGTGCAGCTGCCGTGGGAGCTCAGGCCTGCGGGCCGGGCGGGGTCTCAGGCGGGGGGAGGGCCGAGGGCAGCAGTAGGAGCCGGGTCTTGCCCTCACCTTGCTGGCCCCTGGCAGCAGGTTGGCTTTGACGTAGGTGTCCAGGGAGCCTGAGGCTGGTGGCTTGAGGCCCTGGGGGGGGGGGGGGAGCGATAGATGTGGGCCAGGCTGAGGCCCAGGCCCACAGCTCAGCCCGCCCAGCCTACCTTGGCACGGTGAGCCATGCAGTGCAGGGCGCTGTTGTCCGCATCAAAGGGGAGGGTGAACTCGGTGCCCAGGGCGGCTGAGGGAGGCGGCACGCAGGTCAGTTCCTCTTGCTCCTGCCCCCGTGGCACCGTGCCTCCTGCCCTGCCGCACAGGCCAGGTGCCCGGGACACCCAGACCCCGTCCTGGCCGGGCCGGCCCAGGTTGCCCTCGCCCCCTGCCCCGCGCACTGCTGTCGCCCGGGTCTCCCTCCGGCTCCGGGTCTGGCGGCGGCTGGGGTGCAGAGCAGATGGCGGGGGACACTGCGGGGTGTGGGTCTGGGGCGCGCAGGGCAGGCTCGGCGAAGGGGTGGAAGAGGGGGAAGTAGTCGGAGATGAGGCGGATGAGCCGGATGGGCCCGGGTTCACGTCGATGGCCACGTGCTCCTGCATGCTCACCCGCGGCGGCGCCGCCAGCCGGCCGCCCCCGCGCCGCCCCCCGCCCCCGCGCCCGCCATGGGGCTCAGACGGGGAGGGGCTCAGACAAGCCCCCTGGACTGGATGGGAGGGGAGCACCCTGGGCCGAGGCAGGGTGGAGCGGCGTCGAGGCGGGTGCTGAGGAGGACCTGCGGACAGAGGCAGGGTGGGTGGGTGGGTGGGTGGGTGGGGAAGGGGGGCTCCAGCCTGGAGGGGGACTCGGCGGCCGGGGGTGCCTGCTGGGCTCCTTACCTCTCTGAGCTCCGCCGCCCGGCTCTGCCCGCTGCCGGCACTGGGTGTGACCAGGCCTCCTGGTACCGGCAAGGGAGGGGGAGGGCGGGGCTCAGAGCCCACTCGGGCTCAGGAGAGGGCACTCCCCTGCCCTGACTCCAAGGGCCCGACTTAGCTCTGGGCAAGGGGGCCAGCCCCTCCCCCTATTCACAGGCTGCGGTTATTTTTACTCCATCACGGGCCCTGCTCCGAGGCGGGTGCCCAGTGACGGGTGAGGGCGATGGGAGGGGTGAGAGGGAAGGGGTGCAGGGGGAGGGAGCATGTGGGGAGGTGTGGAGGAAGGGCGGGTGTGGGACTTTGGGGGGCGAAGAGGGGTGTAAGGGGTGGGGAGGGGAGGGCTTATGTGGAATGGGGGGTGCCTGGGAAAGGGGGGCGCTTGGGGAGGAGGGCATCTGCGGTCTGGCCCCTTGCAGCTCACGCTTCTGGCACGTGGGTCAGATCACACCCACTCCTCTCTCCTTTACGGGCCTGAGGCACGGCCCTGGCACCCCCATCTCCCCGTTACTCCTCACGGTTTCCGTGAACACCGGGCTCTGTGCCCGGCGGCTGCTGCCCCAACCGTCCTGCCCCGCCCTCCGGCCCGGCTCACTCCTGCCTCCAGAGTCAAGGTCACTCTGCAGGGGAACTCGGCTGGCTTTCACCTGCTCGGCATCCCCCTTCCCAGTGGTCCTTTGGCGGCCGCCCCCTCCCTATTCCCAGCCTGGGGGTCCACCCTCCTCCCCAGGGCTGTGCCCCAGATCCTGCCAGGCAACAGCTCCAAACCCAGCAGCCGCACGGCAGGTTACCCTGGCCGAGTGGAACACGGGGCCACCTGAGCTGCGGCCCTCTCCGCCCCTCTCCCTGGAGTGGAGACGGTCCTGGGGATGAGGCCGGCCAGAGGGAGAGCCCCTGGATGCAGCCATGCCTGAAGCTACGCGAACCCTGCATTCACAATCACCATTCCAGCCAGTGGGTGGCGTTCCCCATCACTTGTCCTGGCTAATACTGCCCAGTCCACCTGCCAAAGTCCAACTGACCCCCTCAACTCTCACAGAACACTGCATAACTCCCCTGTGATTTACACGTGACCGTTCAATGTGCAGCCACAGGGGCATCTGGTCCAAGGTCTCCCCTAGTCTGAGCCCCTCCCAACCCCCAGAGGCCAGGACAGCATCTGCTGGTCCCCAGATGGGGCCCCGCCCAGCAGCTGGAGCGCGGTGGGCGCTCCTCGTCAGGGCTGCTCCCCAGACTCCCGCGGCCCAGCACGGGGTCCGCCAGGCACGGCGGAAGGAGCACACGTGGCTGAGGGTCTGGGCTCGAGTCCGAGGGGGCCTGGTTCAAACCCAGCGTGGTCAGGGCGTCTGTCCTCTCGGAGCCCAGGCTCACCAGCCAGGGTCAGCGTCGGCCCACCTCACGGGGCCGAGGCGAGGGTGAAACGAGAGCAGTGATGCCAAGTACCCGGTGCAGGGTACGCGCCACTGCGGGCTGACAGTGTGCTCAGACGGGTGCCCCAGCCAGGAGCCCGCTGTCCCACGGGGTCTGCTCGAGGTCGGGCCCTGGCGCAGAAGATGCAGTCGCCAGAGTCGGTAAAGGCGCTTTATTCAGTCCCGAGGCCGAGCTGCCGAGGACCAGCCTTCAGCCCCGGAGCCGCCATGCCCGGGGGATCTCCAGGCGGGGCTGGTAGGCGCCCGGCGCCAGGACCTGCAGGGCGAACTCGGTGATGACGGCCGTGAGCCCCCAGACGCGGTGCGGGCCGTGGAGGAAGACGGGCATTGTGTAGCGGAAGTGGCCGCCCTTGCAGAAGTGGGTGTAGCCCTGGTGCTGCGCCTGCAGCAGGTGGGCCAGGGGCAGCGCGAACACCTCCTCCACCTGTGGACAGGAGGGGCGGACGGAGGGCCGGCCATGGCGGCCCCCTTTTCCCCCCCGACAGCAGGGACCCCGGAGTCCCGGCCCTGCTCACCTCCTCAGGGTTGGGCTGGAGGTTCTGGGGATCCAGTGGGCCCACACCGGCCAGCACCGGCACCACGGAGTTCTGTGCCTGGGCCAGGAAGGCAGGCGGTCAGGGGAGGCCTGGCCGTGGCAGGCCTTTGGGCTGGAGCGGGGGCTGAGGAACACCGCACCCTCGCCATCCGGAGGCCTGGAGCCGCCACGGCCGGTCCCTCTGGCCCTGTCCTGCGGGGGGCTCCCTCCAGCCACGCCGACTGCCTCGAGTTCCCATTCAGCCTCTGGGCCTTCGCAGACTGTTCCCTCCACTTAGAAAACCTTCCCTTACCTGTACGACCCTAAAACCTGCCCTGTGGGGTCTTCCCAACACTCATCCCCAAACTGGCTCATCCCCACGCCGCCTCCCCCGGACCTGAGCCCCAGCGCCCGTCCCTGTGAGAAGAGGGCACAATAGCCCCGGTGGGTTGTGGGGGGCGGACGAGGAGGGGCAGGCAGGTGCCGGTGCCCTGCGTTCCACCCAGCCCTGCTGGAGCCCAGGACCTGCTCCTGTCCGGGGTCCGGGGCGCGCCCGGGGCAGGCAGAGTGGGCGCCCGGGGTGGCCGGGAGCCGGGCGGGCTCACCTGGTCAAACACGGGCTGCAGGACACCCCACACGCGGTCCTCCGGCACCGCCAGGCCCAGCTCCTCCTGGGTCTCCCTCAGGGCCGTGTGCACCACATCCCGGTCCCCCGGGTCACTCTTGCCGCCTGGGAAGCTGACAGGCGCGGCGGTGAGGCGGAGGCCAGGGACGCCCACGCTCCCGCCCCAGTTCCCAGCGCGGCTCCGGAAGCCACCGGCCTCTCCGGTCCGGGCCTCCCTGAGCCACGGCGGGGAGGGAGAGGCCCCGGACTCAGACGTGCAAACCCGGTCTGCGGTGGCCCCGGCGGGGTCCCAATTCCCGCCCGGGGCGCGGCCGGGGCGGGGGCCAGAAAGCCCGCCCAGGCTCCCCAGGCTCAGGGACCCCGATCTTCCCGCAGAGGCCGGAGGGCGCCCCTTTCAGAGGGGTCACAGCCCCGCGGGGTGTCCCAGGCGGGAGGTGCTGCGGGCACCTTCGAGGGGCCCCGCGGCGCCGGGCCCGGGCTCCCCGCAGACCCGTGCCCGGAGGCGGAGACCGAGGCGGGGCTCAGCGTCCCCGGTGCGGCGGCCCTGCCAGCGGGGCGCGGAGCGGAGGGCCGGGCGGTACCTGACGTCGCCCTTGTGCCTCCCGGCCAGGCGGCTGGACCGCAGCGGGTAGAGCAGCGCCGGGGCCCCGCGCACCGAGCACAGCGGCACGAGCACCGCGGCCGCCGCGGGCCGCGCGCGGAGCCGGGCCGTGGCCGTGGCCAGCAGCTGCCGGCAGCGCCGCTCGCCCTCCGCCGACAGGCAGTCGGGCAGCATGTCCGGCCCGCGCCGCCGCTCCTGCCGGGCCGGGCCGCGGGCGGCGCTCAGGGACCCGGGGGCGGAGCTTAGGGACCCGGGGGGCGGCGCTCAGGGACCCGGGGGCGGCGCTCAGGGACCCGGGGGCGGCGCTCAGGGACCCGGGGGCGGCGCTCAGGCACCCGGGGGCGGTGCTTAGGGACCCGGGGGGCGGTGCTCAGGGACCCGGGGGGCGGCGCTTAGGGACCCGGGGGGCGGCGCTCAGGGACCCGGGGGGCGGCGCTCAGGGACCCGGGGGGCGGCGCTCAGGGACCCGGGGGGCGGTGCTCAGGGACCCGGGGACGGCGCTCAGGGACCCGGGGGCGGCGCTCAGGGACCCGGAGGGCGGCGCTCAGGGACCCGGGGGCGGTGCTCAGGGACCCGGGGGCGGTGCTCAGGGACCCGGGGGCGGAGCTCAGGGACCCGGGGGGCGGCGCTCAGGGACCCGAGGGCGGCGCTCAGGGACCCGGGGGGCGGCGCTGGAGTGGCCCGACGCCCCGCCCCGCCCCGGCCGGGCCTGCGGGCTCCGAAGTTGCCCAGGCGGTTTAGAGGCGAGGCCTGTGCGAGGGGCGTGGCCTGCGCCGGGCGTGACCCATATAGGGGCGTGGTCTATGCGGAGCGTGGCCTCGCAAGGGCGGCCTCCAGGAGGGGAAGCGGGGGCGGGTCCATAAGGGGCGTGGCCTGTGTAAGAGGCGTGGCCTGGTAAGGGGCGTCGTCTTGCTAAGGGCAGACTCCTGGAGGGGAAGCGGGAGCGGGCCCGGTAGGGGCGTGGCTTTATGTAAAAGGCGTGGTCTCTGTGGGGCGTGGCCTCGCAAGGGGCGGGCTCTAAAGAGAAAGCGGGAGGTCCGGAAAAGGCGTGACCTGTGTGAGGGGCGGGCCGGAAGGGGCGTGACCTGTTCAAGGGTCGGGCCGGAAGGGGCGTGGCCTGTGTCCTCGCTGCCCGCAGAGGCGGCGGGGCGGGGCGGGGCTGGGGTGCATGTCAGGCTCCTGTGTCCTCCACCTTCGGTCGTGCTCGGCCCGGGGACCGAACTCAGGCCTTCGGACACGGAGCTCAGGAATCGGGGTGCCTTGCTGCTGAGGCCCCGCCGGCTCCCCGCCCTGCGCCCTTGTGTGTCCGTTCCCCTCCGAGGGCCTGACAGCAAGGGCTCCAAGATGGGCGGAGTCGGCGTTAGGGGTTCAGGGGCGCCCTAGGATATCAGGGCCGCGCCGCCCTCCGGCTCCTGGGGACACACCCCGCCCCGCCTTCCCCGTTCCAGGCCCCGCCCCTCTCCGCTCCTCTGGGTGCTGGTTCAAAGGTGGCTTTCTCCAGGCGCTGCCCCGGGTCAGTTCTGATCAGATTCTCAAATCCCTCCCCCACCCACCTTGGCCCCTGTGGTCATTGCCTGCTGTGGTTCTGGAACCTCAGCCAGACCCTGGCCCCTGAGGGCCAGACCCCAGCCCACGCCCAGCACCGGGACGTTGAGCGGCACGTGTCCTCAAACCTTGACTTTGAGCAAGAACCTCTCTGAGCTGCAGTTCAGCCTCATCCGGGCACACGGCAGGGAGCAGAGCTCCCCTCCCACCCAGCCCTGCGCCAGGGCCCGGGAGAGCTCTGGGTGCCTGCAGCCCAGGCTCCGGCCTTCAGCGTCCCTGAGCCCTCCCCCCTCAGCCCTGCGGACAGAGGGCTCTGACCACCGTGCCAAACAGTTTAATGTGTGGGGAGGAGGGGGGGCAGAGTCACCCCCACAGCAGAAGGGCACAGGTTGGGGGGTAAGAGGCCTGGTTCCAAGCCTGGCACTATCCCAGCCTCCCCCTCTGGGCTTCTGTGCTCACTGCTCCCCTCGGGAAGGGAGGGGTCTGTGCAGAGGTGAGGCTGGAGGGCGTGGGGTCCAGGGTCAGAGGCCTCTGCCCACAGGGTACCCTCGTCACTGAGGGTCCTGGTGGGACCTCAGGCACGTGGCAGTTGGGGACAGGAGCCCCAGCCCAGCTTGGAGGCGCAGGCCCCCCTGATCCCTGCCAGCCCGGACGCCGGGGAGGGGGTACGGTGTGGGCCGGGCCCTTGGGATGCCCAGAGAGCTGGAGGCTCTGGGGTACAGGTCCTGGAAGGCGAGGGCCCGGTGGGCCGCGGGGCCCAGCAGAGCCTCCGGGGTGGCCAGCAGCGGGGGGTGGAGCCGAGCCGGGGGCCTGGCGGTGAGAGCTGGAGCTTTGTTGGGATCTGAGGGAGGAAGTGGGCTGAGTGACCCCAGCCCTCCCCTCACGTCCACTCCTGCCTTCTCCGCGTCTCCCACCTCACGCTGCCCGCCTCAGCCTTGGCTCTCGCTTTGCCTCTGCCTGGAATTTCTCTCACTTTCTCCCTCCCAGGCCTGCCAGGCCCAGCGTGGGAACCACCTCCCCAGGAAGTTCACCTGTTTGCGCCCCCTTCCCCCAGAAACGTGTCCCTACCCTGTCTCTCTGCCTCGGGCCCCACATCGCCTGAGAAATCTCTGCTTCCCCTCTGCCCTCACAGGTGCCCAGCGGCGTGCTGTGTGTGCTGGAGCCTCTTCTTGGAAGCCCTGGGTGCTGGCCCTGGCTTCTCACCCAAGTGCTGGCTCTGGTCCCGCCGGGCCTAACCTTTCTCCTGCTCCGTGGGGCCTGTCAGCGGGCAGGGGCCGAGGCTGCTGCGGCTCCGGGCGGGGACGCCGAGCAGAGGCTGTGCAGACGCGGTCCTGGAGGGCAGGCAGGGGTGGGGCAGGGGGCAGGCAGGGGTGGGCAGGGGGTCAGGCAGGGATGGGGCAGGGGGGCAGGCAGGGGTGGGCAGGGGAGCGGGCGGGGGAGGGTAGGGGGGCAGGCAGGGATGGGCAGGGGTCATGCCAAAGATCTGGTTCCGAGCCGGCCAATGAGACCCCAGGACCCGTCAGTGGGCGTGGCCTCCTAAGGAGCCAGCCCAGCAGGTGCCTGGGGACGGGGCGAGGGGCTGGGCCAGGGCAGCGGGCAGGCCTGGCAGGAGCGGTCAGTACCAGGAGTCCGGGTCACTCTCTCTAAAGCCCTTGGCGAAAGGGTTGCTGGCGATTTTCAGCTGCGTGATCTGCGGGGAAGAGAGTGGTGTGAAGGGTCAGCCCTGAGCTGGGGAGAGGCTGTGGGCATCAGGCTCACCCATCCTCACCCCCCGCCCCCGTCAGGAGGCCCGGCCCCGGCCCACAGCGGGTGTGAGGGCGGGAGTGGCCGGCAGAGAGAGCCCAGGGCTGCGAGGGCGTGTGGCGGCTGAGAGGGAGCCTGTCTCCGGGCGGGTGAAACGGCTGTGGCCGACGCACCCGGTGGTTCTGGTAGGCCGTCACGGCCGTGAACTGCGTCTCGGCGAAGACGAAGGACTTGAAGTTCTCGTGGGCGTAGCGCTCGCTGTCCCTGCGCGGGTCCACGAAGACCACGTGGAAGCGCGGCTGGTAGCGGTGCATGGAGCTGAGGATGATCTGGGGGGGCAGGGGGCAGCAGCTGTCACTGAGGCTGCAGCCGCCCTCCGGGGCCCGCAGTGCCCGGGCCCCCGGGGCTGGGGCATCCTGGCTGCTGTGCTTTCTCTCACACCCACAGGGCGCTGCCCGCCGCCTTCAGCCCTGTCCCCTCCGACCGCCTCGCCCGCCCCGGGGCCTCCAGCATCTGGCCTCTTGTCGCACCCGGCCCCTCGTCACTATCAGGCCCTGCGGAGGCCGGCCCGCCCCCATGGCCCCCACGGCCACGGTCTGGCTCCCGTTTGTCTGTCAGAATCAGGCCCCGAGGCCGGCCCGCCCCCACGGCCCCCATGGCCACAGGCCCAGCTCACGTGGCCGTTGTTGTCCAGCAGGTTGTTGGTGAGCTTGAGCTTGTCGAAGGACACGATCTGGCGCATCCACTGCGCGCCCTTGGCCGGCGAGTCGGGGTGGAAGTGCACGCGGCCCGGCGTGGCCGGGTCCGCCTTGCCGGCCACCAGCCAGGCCGAGCTGTGGAAGGCGTACCTGGGGCAGAGCGAGTGGTGCGGGTGCCGTCCGCATCGCACAGCGCCTCGCCCGCCGGCCCTGGTGCCCGCACGTGGCCCCCTCTTGCCAGGGGGAAGCGGCAGCTCTGAGAGCTTCCTGAGGCTCCACCCGCCGCCCTGGGCTCGCCCTCTCTGCTGTCCCAGCTGGTGCCCACCGCCCACTCCCACCGCCCACGCCGGCTGCCAGGCTGGTGCCCACCGCCCACTGCCCACCGCCCACGCCGGCTGCCAGGCTGGTGCCCACCGCCCACTGCCCACCGCCCACGCCGGCTGCCAGGCTGGTGCCCACCGCCCACCGCCAGCTGCCAGGCTGGTGCCCACTGCCCACCGCCAGCTGCCAGGCTGGTGCCCACTGCCCACTGCCCACCACCCACGCCGGCGGCCAGGCTGGTGCCCACCGCCCACTGCCCACCGCCCACGCCGGCTGCCAGGCTGGTGCCCACTGCCCACCGCCCACTGCCCACCGCCCACGCCGGCTGCCAGGCTGGTGCCCACCGCCCACTCCCACCGCCCACGCCGGCTGCCAGGCTGGTGCCCACTGCCCACTGCCCACCGCCCACGCCGGCTGCCAGGCTGGTGCCCACTGCCCACTGCCCACCGCCCACGCTGGCTGCCAGGCTGGTGCCCACCGCCCACTGCCCACCGCCCACGCCGGCTGCCAGGCTGGTGCCCACTGCCCACCGCCAGCTGCCGGGCTGGTGCCCCTGCCCCACACTCCCCGCTGGTGCCCAGGACAGGCCTCCCTGGTGCTGCCGGATCGGCCCCGCCTCCCGGGGGTGCAGCGAGGGTCGACGCCCCGTCTCAGCGCGGCGGACGGAGCCGCTCCCTGCGGCCGCACCTGTATCTCTTGTCGTCCAGGGGCACGAAGTCCATGAGCAGCGCGTAGTCGGCCAGCGCGTCCATGCCCAGGATCTTCACCTGGAAGGTGGGGAACATCCTCCTGGGGAGGGGGTGCCGGCTGCCTGAGTGCGGCCCCGCCGGCCCCCCGCGTCCCCCCCACTCACCCCCCCCCGCACACCGCCCCCCCCGCTCACCGCCCCCCACCCCCCGCACACCGCCCCCCCCCCGCTCAC